GTCATAAAACTGGCAAATTTTGTTTAGGAATTTTGCTTTTTACTCTAATAAAACACTTTTTTAAAACAATTATTAACATTTTTTATAAACTATTACTTTGTTACACTATTTTTTACTATTATTTATTTTAAAAAGTTATTAAAATTAGTTTTTTCACCAAATTTTTTTCACAATTAATAAAATTTTGACACTTTTTCTCGAAAGTAACGCGACAAACTAAAGTAAATTGTAGAAAAAGAGAAAGCAAATGCAAAAACAATCATAAATAGGGAAGAGTTTAATGGAGATTGGGAGAGCCTATAAATTCCCAGCGGTAAAAATATACATTATGTACTCGCTTATCTAAGTGATATTTCGTGGCAGTCAGTGGTGATGCTTTCACTTATTCTTCTACTTAGATTTAACATAAAAGTGTCCTAGGCTGCCACATCGATGTGCTCTCACTTAGAATGTAAGCCACAATATCATTAGGACAAATTAAAATTTCACTTACATAATGTGTGGAGTTCTAAGCGAAGTTAATGAGACGCCTATAAACGCTTGCAAATAGTAATGTAATGTATGTAGATTACAATCCTATTTGCATTTGTCTTCCCTTTTTGTTATAGAAAATATATATATTTTTTTATATTTATTTTAAAATTATGTAAGTTTATTTAAAAATTATTATCAAATAACAAACATGTATTATAGTTAATTCAATAAAAATATAATTAAACAATTTTAACGAAGATAAATGAAATTAATCTTAATTTTCTTTTGAAACTTTCGGCCATCTTCCTTTACAGATCCTGTAAACAATCAGGAGGAAATTATCAGTATTAAAACTAGAATGTATGAAATAAATTTACCCCAATTTTTAAATCCATTTCTGCCGTTTAGATCACCACAATTATTTTAAATTTTTACAATAAAATAACTTTTTTAACAAAACACAACTTCACTTACAAGAGATCAACTTTAAACTGATACAAAAAGATTCTTCATTTCATGTAGTATACAAAAGAAAACGGTACTTTAGGTTTTTTATAAGAAATAAAAACAAAAAACAAAATGAAAAAGGCAGCTAACTCTCTGCTTAAATCGTAATCTATGTTATAATTAAAGTGCATGATATGTTGGATTACGCATACATTGCACTCTAAGTACTTAGATTGCTCGCTTAGAACGTCATACTGATGTCATCGAATATTATCTAAGTACTTTGTTTCATTTACCGCTGGGTTAATAAGGAGAGTTTGTTTACTTATTTTTAAAAGGAGAGTTAAATAAAAAGGTAAACAAAAGGCAAATATGTGATTGATTGTTGTTATTGTTTTGTTATTATGTAACGATTTGCATTTTATTGTTGTGATAGTGATAAAGGGTTCGTGTTTTTGAAAATAGTTACTTAAGAAAACAGGCTTATAACTTGTAAACTATTGCTCAGATTTTAATAAAATTTTATAGATTTATAGTAAACAAGTTAAGGTTTAATATTGTAGTTAATTTAAATTTGAATATTAGAGAAGTTATCAAGCAAATTAAACACTTTGATAATAGCAATAGAGATAATTTTTGTCAGACATTTAAACTACAAAAATTGGCATTTATTTTGCCATATATTTATGCAAATTTTCCTGCAATGGTTCCAGTCGAATTTCGACCGGTGGGCGAACTGTAGTTTACATTAAAGTTCGTAAATAAATAATTCTTAAAAAAAAAACATTTACACACACGTAACGCCTTTCAAATGCCACACGTACGAGTGAATATTTGGCGAAAAAAACAACAAACGGGTTACAAAAACATATATTTAAATTGATTTATGCAATCATTAATTTCATTTAACGTTAGTTATAGTTTTTTTCCATACGCGAAAATCATAAATTAAACAAATGAATAATAGAAAAAGATTAAATAAAACAAAGTTTTTTCTATTTAGGTGGAAAAAAAAGTTTTCAATTAAAACTAAAATTCAATGATTTTTTTTTTTTTTTTTTTTTTGTTTTCTTTCAACTACTGTTCAATAAAAACTAAATATCTTTTTTTTTTTTTTTTGGACTAAATGTCATCAATTTTCACACATGATTTATTTATGAAATTCAGCGTTTTTTGTTCACCATAGCGACAATTTAATAGTAAAATGTGACAGATAGAGAATTTATTTTAAAGCTGTTTAGAACTAATAACTAAATTTATTGTTATTTTAACTCAGACTCTTGGAAAAAGTATTATGTAAATTAAATTATTAAAGATAATATGTACATAAATACATATTTATGCACATATATGTATATGTATGTACCCAGAAAAAACTTTAATGAAAAACAAGTAAGAGATTATAGTCGGGCGAGGCCGACCATATAATACCCTACACCTTTGACAAAAATATAATGTGATTTATTTGCCATAATAAAGCATTTAAATTGAATTGTACCTTGCCTCAGATATACATACTTAAGCCATTTATTGTTGATTAAAATTGTGGACATTTAAGTGAAATTTTGATGAGGGCTTTTCATAGGGGCTAGGGTCATATGAGGTCCTATTATTATGGAATTCGTGAGGTTCATCAAATCTTGTATAGAACTTGGTTTTTGCAGCTTTTTGTCGAGATATGAGTATATTAAACATAGTTATGAACTTAAAAGCCCTATTCGTCGGGTTCAGTTGTATGGGGGCTAGGTGAAATAATGGACCGATGTAAAACATTTTCAACAAAGCTTCGTTTACGGTACCATAAAAGATCATGTACCAAATTTCATTGAAATATCTCCAAAATTGCGACTTGTAGTTTGATTACAAAGTTTAAAAGCCCTATTCGGGGGGTTCAGTCGTATGGAGGCTAGGTGAAATAATGGACCGATGTTAACCATTTTCAACAGACTTTGTCTACGGTACCATAAAAGATCATGTGCCAAATTTCATTGAATTATCTCCAAAATTGCGACCTGTAGTTTGTTTAAAAGCCCTATTCGGGGCGTTCAGTCGTATGGAGGCTAGGTGAAATAATAGACCGATGTTAACCATTTTCAACAGACTTTGTCTACGGTACCATAAAAGATCATGTGCTAAATTTCATTGAATTATCTCCAAAATTGCTACCTGTATGTAGTTTGATTACAAGGTTTACAAGCCCTATTGGGGGTTCAGTTGTATGGGGGCTAGGTGAAATAATGGAACAATCTTAACCATTTTCAATAGGCTTCCCTGGGACAATAGAAGATCAGGTACCAAATTTCATTGAATTATCTTCAAAATTGCGACCTGTAGTTTGATTACAAGATTTACATGGACGGACAGACGGACGGACATAGCTAAATGGATTCAGAAAATGATTCTGAGCCGATTGGTATACTTTAAGGTGGGTATAAGACCAATATTATTGTGCGTTACAAACATCAGCACAAACACAATATACCCTCCCCACTGAAGTGGTGTAGGATATAAATATTGAGTTAAAAAGCTTAATTATTTTAACGCGATAAAGACATTGGAGGCAAGTACTTACCAAGCTCACTTACACATAACTACATATATAAGCAATTGCAAATACCCACAACACCACTGTAAATTTATTGATAAATTAATCCTCTCATCTACCTATCTATCTACATATCTATCTATCTATCTATCTATCTATCTATCTATCTATCTATCTATCTATCTATCTATCTATCTATCTATCTATCTATCTATCTATCTATCTATCTATATATCTATTTATCTATCTATCTATCTATCTATCTATCTATCTATCTATCTATCTATCTATCTATCTATCTATCTATCTATCTATCTATCTATCTATCTATTTATCTATCTATCTATCTATCTATCTATCTATCTATCTATCTATCTATCTATCTATCTATCTATCTATCTATCTATCTATCTATCTATCTATCTATCTATCTATCTGTCTATCTAGATATCTATCTAGATATCTATCTATCTATCTATCTATCTATCTATCTATCTATCTATCTATCTATCTATCTATCTATCTATCTATCTATCTATCTATCTATCTATCTATCTATCTATCTATCTATCTATCTATCTATCTATCTAGTCTATCTATCTATCTATCTATCTATCTATCTATATATCTATCTATCTATCTATCTATCTATCTATCTATCTATCTATCTATCTATCTATCTATCTATCTATCTATCTATCTATCTATCTATCTATCTATCTATCTATCTATCTATCTATTATATATCTATCTATCTATCTATCTATCTATCTATCTATCTATCTATCTATCTATATAGTTTTCGTTCTATCTATCTATAATTTCGTTGAAAATTTCCCTACGAACTTACAAATTTTTAACTAGATACAAGTATTTTGATATTGTATAATTATGCCATATTGGCAACCCTCATATCATCACGCTAAAGGACACAAAGTAACAGAAGCTTTAAAGTAACAGAAAATGTTTATAGCATCCTTAACCGAATACTCAAGCTTTTGAGACATGTATTTATAAGTATAAAATTATAATTTATAACAGTTATGGAATTAAAACAGTATCCACATTATGGGATAAACTGGTCGAACGATGTCCTATAACATGGGAATTTTATTATTTACATTTATAGCAAAAGCTTTGAATTTATAAATTCGGACTGCCTTCTAAGGCGAAAATATATAGATTTATGGAGCGGAGGAGGTATGCTTATGTAGGCATTAAAAATTCACCAAAATAATTCGGAATTATAAATAATACTGTTATATTTTTGTTTTATAGAAACACCAAGTGAAGAAATAGGCATTTTTGAGGGAATTATAGTAATGATTGAAATTTGTTCTATATTCGTCAACCTTATTTTCGAAATCGGTTTTTATAAAAAAGCGGAAATAGGCAGCAATTTCCTTAAAAACACTTTAATAAAGAAACCAGTTCCTTAAATAACAACAAAAAAGGAAAACAACAAAAAAAAAAAACAAGTCCAATATCAATTCAAAAAGGAATTTCACTACAATTTTTAATAAAAAATCGATTAATTTTTTTCATTTTATTTAAAGTCCACTTTGGTAAAATATAATTTATTTAATCTACTTAAAGAAGAATGTAACAAATTTATATCAAAATTATAAATAATAATAAATTTCATACTAGTAATGTAACAACCGACAAAATAACCTTTTATATAAAAAAAAATAATTAAACCCATATACTTTAATTTCCTAATAAAATATTAACATTAAAACCTTTAGACTTGTTCGGCTATTTATTTTTACCATAAACTTTGTTTGCTTATTGTATAATAAAACAAATGTTTTTAGCACCATTCTATTAGTTGGTTAAAAAATTGTATATGATTATCATACACCAGCTACTTTTAACATTTCTTCGATTTTAACAATTTTCTCTCTAGGTTTTCCCACCAATTGTCCCCTCTTAGCTTCTTCTTGATCAATTTTTTGCCAACCTTGCCAGTTAACCACAGCATGAGTTTTCAATAACTGCTGCAGACCCAATTTTTGATCATCTGTATTAATATCTTTACTTAAAACATCATCACATATCGTTTTAGCTACAGCAAAAGCTACATTCATTGTAGTCAAGATGACTCCTGTGGGACCAGTGCCCAACCAACCCGCCACATATAAAGCCTTATCTATAGTTGTATCCTGTGGGGACTTTAAAACTCTACCCTGCTGGTTAAAAACTTTTCCTGTTTTAGCATCAAAACATATACCGCTATCGACACATGAAGATTTATAACCTATACTTCTGAGAACTAAATCTGCGGGTAATGATTCTTCTTGTTCGGTGGCTATAGCTTTGTCCTCTTGCATTCGATTGACATTGAATATAAGTTGATTGTTGTCTAATGATTTAGGCGATCTCATGAAAATGGGTAAAAATTGTCTTTTGTGTTGTGGAATTGCTGGTTGTTCTTTTAAACTTTTGAGCATTAATTCGGTTAAACGTTTACGAGGTCTGGCTAGTTGGTCTACCACTTCTGCTACGCCTTCAAAGTCTTGTTGTCTCCATTGTGTGCTTACATTTGGCAGTTTTAACATTTCTCTTAGTTCCTTGATAGTGAAGGCCACCTGTAAGGGTCCTCTACGACCAACTAGATATACTTGTTCTACTTTACTGCTGGCTAATGTGTCTAGGGCGTAGGAGGTTATGTCGGTTTTCTGAAATGAAATAAAAAGGAGCAACAGTGAGTTATTTAAAATTCAAAAAGCTACTATAGACCAGACGAGACAAAAGACTTGAAAATAGACTAGACTATAGACAAGACAATAGACTAGACAAAAGACAAGACTATAGACTAGACAGTAGTCAAGACTATAGACTAAATTATGGACTACGCTATAGACTAGACTATACGCTAAACTACAGACCAGACTAGACTATAGACTATAAAGTAATCAAGATTATAGACTAGGTTATGGACTTGACTATAGACTAGAATATAGATTTGACTATAGACGAGACTATATACGATACTATTATCTAAACTATAGTTCAATCTAGACAAGACTATAGTTCAGTCTAGACGAGACTATAGTTCAGTCTATAAACGAGACTACAGTTTATATCCGGTTCATTGTGGATATGGCCCCATACAAAGCCTTTTGAAAACTGCAACAGTTTCTTGTTTATTTTAATTAAATTTACCTTTAAAACATCAATTGGACTCAAAAGCATTCTTGCAACATCAACAGCTACATTGCCTTGACCAACTATTGTTACAGATTTGCCACTTAAATTAGGATTAAGATTCTCCGCTCCCGGTAAACCATTATACCAGGCAACAAAATTTCTAGCCGACAAAACATTTGATTCCTTTTCATTTGCTATACCCAATTCACGATCTTGATCGGCACCATAGGTCAAGAGGACAGCATGATAGTTATCCCGTAATTGCTGTAAACTAACATCTTTACCCAAAGTAACATTACCATAGAAATTAAAGCGAGTATTATCAGCGGTCTTTGTAAAAGTGTTAATGACATTTTTCACCTCCGGATGGTCAGGGGCAACGCCAAAACTAGAAGAAAAAACAACAACTATTACTAAATAATAAAGTAAAGTAAAATATTAAGCACTAAAATTGATAAACTAATTGTTAAAGTCATTAAGATAAGAATAGACAAAAACAATAGGAAGAAAGTATCTATGTAACACAAATCATGAACAATGATGAAATTTTTCTATATAAATATGAAATACTAGCAATTTATTATAAGTTTTAATAAAAATTAGTAAAAAATGTTTAAATTAAAAGTACTTCCGGCGATATTAATAATAATCTTGAGTTTATGTTTAGCTACTGCTAAGGCCACCTGGAGTTTGGCGAGTATAGGAAGTAATTGTTTCAAAACAAATTACATTTTATACAAATTAACTTTAAATTCATTTATTTAAGCTTATTTTCAAAATATATTCCGTGCCATATTTGATCCTATATTCAATTCTTTTGCGGCCAGCCCTTCGTCATCAGTCGAAACTACTATACCAACTTCAACATAATCACACTCACCGGACTAAACCAAAAGGCACTGGCAATTTTTCTATTACATCTACTTTGGAATCTTGCAGGGTTTTTAGTATATATTGTGCTGCATAGAAACCTGCTGGCCCGGCTCCTACAATACAAATCCTTGGTCCAGTTGAGCCACTTGTTGAGTAAGAATGTTTTAAATTAAATCTAAGTTTTGATAGTAATCCATGGCTTTGTTGTGTTAGGTTTTTATTTAAAAGTCTTTGCAGCATTTTAGTTTTAATTTAGTAAGTAGTTAATTTATTATAAATTATGTTAATGCAAATTAAATGTAAACAATACAATAAGTGAAATTTTAAATTGTCGTTGTTGCTGTCATTTTTTTTATAATCAGCTGCTAGAGGCATAGTTGCCAGATGATTTGGGTGTAAAATCGTCAAATTTCGAGGAAAAATCAACTGATTTTTCGAAATCGTCATTATATATGTATGTATATACTTGTTTGATGGTATTTATACGATTTTATAACGCACATAAAGAAAACAACCCGACGAAAAATAAAACAAACCGTAACAGCTGTTTTATCAAAATAAACATTTTTTTTGGTGTGGTGAGTTATTTTTGTTTACAAATATGTGTTTCTGCACGTGGAAAAGACGCAAAAACTCGTTTTCATTATTTACATTTTCAATATGTGTTTAAGCACGTGGAAAAAATTCAAAAAAATTGATTTTCATGATTTACATTAAAAAAAATATTTTTGATCAATTAAAATATGTGTATTAATGTGGAAAGGAACAAATCTGATAAAATATAAATATATTTGGGATTATATCGTTACAGAATGCCTTTTAATAAAAAACATTCAAAAAATGTTACTATGGTCATATATATAATGATATATAAGTGCTATCGGACGATCTTGTGCACGATAAAAACCTATATAGAACTTTAAGTTGGAAGTGTAGAAATCGGATGGCATACATTTTTTTCCGGATTTCATCGTTCTAGGGTGTGTACTACAACAACAAACTTTTTTTTTACAAAAAATGTAACTATGGCCGTATATATAAAATGATATATAACTGCTATCGGACGATCTTGTGCACGATAAAAACCTATATAGAACTTTAAGTTGGAAGTGTAGAAATCGGATGACATACATTTTTTTCCGGATTTCATCGTTCTAGGGTGTGTACTACAACAACAAACTTTTTTTTTACAAAAAATGTAACTATGGCCGTATATATAAAATGATATATAACTGCTATCGGACGATCTTGTGCACGATAAAAACCTATATAGAACTTTAAGTCAGAAGTGTAGAAATCGGATGACATACATTTTTTTCCGGATTTCATCGTTCTAGGGTGTGTACTACAACAACAAACTTTTTTTTTACAAAAAATGTTACTATAGCCGTATATATAAAATGATATATAACTGCTATCGGACGATCTTGTGCACGATAAAAACCTATATAGAACTTTAAGTTGGAAGTGTAGAAATCGGATGGCATACATTTTTTTCCGGATTTCATCGTTCTAGGGTGTGTACTACAACAACAAACTTTTTTTTTACAAAAAATGTTACTATAGCCGTATATATAAAATGATATATAACTGCTATCGGACGATCTTGTGCACGATAAAAACCTATATAGAACTTTAAGTTGGAAGTGTAGAAATCGGATGGCATACATTTTTTTCCGGATTTCATCGTTCTAGGGTGTGTACTACAACAACAAACTTTTTTTTTACAAAAAATGTTACTATAGCCGTATATATAAAATGATATATAACTGTTATCGGACGATCTTGTGCACGATAAAAACCTATATAGAACTTTAAGTTGGAAGTGTAGAAATCGTATGGCATACTTTTTTTTCCGGATTTCATCGTTCTAGGGTGTGTACTACAACAACAAACTTTTTTTTCCAAAAAATGTTATTATGTCCGTATATATAAAATGATATATAACTGCTATCGGACGATCTTGTGCACGATAAAAACCTATATAGAACTTTAAGTTGGAAGTGTGGAAATCGGATGGCATACATTTTTTTCCGGATTTCATCGTTCTAGGGTGTGTACTACAACAACAAACTATTTTTTTACAAAAAATGTTACTATAGCCGTATATATAAAATGATATATAACTGCTATCGGACGATCTTGTGCACGATAAAAACCTATATAGAACTTTAAGTTGGAAGTGTAGAAACCGGATGGCATACATTTTTTTCCGGATTTCATCGTTCTAGGGTGTGTACTACAACAACAAACTTTTTTTTACAAAAAATGTTACTATAGCCGTATATATAAAATGATATATAACTGCTATCGGACGATCTTGTGCACGATAAAAACCTATATAGAACTTTAAGTTGGAAGTGTAGAAACCGGATGGCATACATTTTTTTCCGGATTTCATCGTTCTAGGGTGTGTACTACAACAACAAACTTTTTTTTTACAAAAAATGTAACTATGGCCGTATATATAAAATGATATATAACTGCTATCGGACGATCTTGTGCACGATAAAAACCTATATAGAACTTTAAGTTGGAAGTGTAGAAATCGGATGACATACATTTCTTTCCGGATTTCATCGTTCTAGGGTGTGTACTACAACAACAAACTTTTTTTTTACAAAAAATGTAACTATGGCCGTATATATAAAATGATATATAACTGCTATCGGACGATTTTGTGCACGATAAAAACCTATATAGAACTTTAAGTCAGAAGTGTAGAAATCGGATGACATACATTTTTTTCCGGATTTCATCGTTCTAGGGTGTGTACTACAACAACAAACTTTTTTTTACAAAAAATGTTATTATGGCCGTATATATAAAATGATATATAACTGCTATCGGACGATCTTGTGCACGATAAAAACCTATATAGAACTTTAAGTTGGAAGTGTAGAAATCGGATGGCATACATTTTTTTCCGGATTTCATCGTTCTAGGGTGTGTACTACAACAACAAACTTTTTTTTTACAAAAAAAGTTACTATAGCCGTATATATAAAATGATATATAACTGCTATCGGACGATCTTGTGCACGATAAAAACCTATATAGAACTTTAAGTTGGAAGTGTAGAAATCGGATGACATACATTTTTTTCCAGATTTCATCGTTCTAGGGTGTGTACTACAACAACAAACTTTTTTTTTACAAAAAATGTTACTATAGCCGTATATATAAAATGATATATAACTGCTATCGGACGATCTTGTGCACGATAAAAACCTATATAGAACTTTAAGTTGGAAGTGTAGAAATCGGATGACATACATTTTTTTCCAGATTTCATCGTTCTAGGGTGTGTACTACAACAACAAACTTTTTTTTTACAAAAAATGTTACTATAGCCGTATATATAAAATGATATATAACTGCTATCGGACGATCTTGTGCACGATAAAAACCTATATAGAACTTTAAGTTGGAAGTGTAGAAATCGGATGGCATACATTTTTTTCCGGATTTCATCGTTCTAGGGTGTGTACTACAACAACAAACTTTTTTTTTTACAAAAAATGTAACTATGGCCGTATATATAAAATGATATATAACTGCTATCGGACGATCTTGTGCACGATAAAAACCTATATAGAACTTTAAGTTGGAAGTGTAGAAATCGGATGACATACATTTTTTTCCGGATTTCATCGTTCTAGGGTGTGTACTACAACAATAAACTTTTTTTTTACAAAAAATGTAACTATGGCCGTATATATAAAATGATATATAACTGCTATCGGACGATCTTGTGCACGATAAAAACCTATATAGAACTTTAAGTCAGAAGTGTAGAAATCGGATGACATACATTTTTTTCCGGATTTCATCGTTCTAGGGTGTGTACTACAACAACAAACTTTTTTTTACAAAAAATGTTACTATAGCCGTATATATAAAATGATATATAACTGCTATCGGACGATCTTGTGCACGATAAAAACCTATATAGAACTTTAAGTTGGAAGTGTAGAAATCGGATGGCATACATTTTTTTCCGGATTTCATCGTTCTAGGGTGTGTACTACAACAACAAACTTTTTTTTTACAAAAAAGTTACTATAGCCGTATATATAAAATGATATATAACTGCTATCGGACGATCTTGTGCACGATAAAAACCTATATAGAACTTTAAGTTGGAAGTGTAGAAATCGGATGACATACATTTTTTTTCCAGATTTCATCGTTCTAGGGTGTGTACTACAACAACAAACTTTTTTTTTACAAAAAATGTTACTATAGCCGTATATATAAAATGATATATAACTGCTATCGGACGATCTTGTGCACGATAAAAACCTATATAGAACTTTAAGTTGGAAGTGTAGAAATCGGATGACATACATTTTTTTCCAGATTTCATCGTTCTAGGGTGTGTACTACAACAACAAACTTTTTTTTTACAAAAAATGTTACTATAGCCGTATATATAAAATGATATATAACTGCTATCGGACGATCTTGTGCACGATAAAAACCTATATAGAACTTTAAGTTGGAAGTGTAGAAATCGGATGGCATACATTTTTTTCCGGATTTCATCGTTCTAGGGTGTGTACTACAACAACAAACTTTTTTTTTACAAAAAATGTAACTATGGCCGTATATATAAAATGATATATAACTGCTATCGGACGATCTTGTGCACGATAAAAACCTATATAGAACTTTAAGTTGGAAGTGTAGAAATCGGATGACATACATTTTTTTCCGGATTTCATCGTTCTAGGGTGTGTACTACAACAACAAACTTTTTTTTTACAAAAAATGTAACTATGGCCGTATATATAAAATGATATATAACTGCTATCGGACGATCTTGTGCACGATAAAAACCTATATAGAACTTTAAGTCAGAAGTGTAGAAATCGGATGACATACATTTTTTTCCGGATTTCATCGTTCTAGGGTGTGTACTACAACAACAAACTTTTTTTTTACAAAAAATGTTACTATAGCCGTATATATAAAATGATATATAACTGCTATCGGACGATCTTGTGCACGATAAAAACCTATATAGAACTTTAAGTTGGAAGTGTAGAAATCGGATGGCATACATTTTTTTTCGGATTTCATCGTTCTAGGGTGTGTACTACAACAACAAACTTTTTTTTTACAAACAATTTTACTATAGCCGTATATATAAAATGATATATAACTGCTATCGGACGATCTTGTGCACGATAAAAACCTATATAGAACTTTAAGTTGGAAGTGTAGAAACCGGATGGCATACATTTTTTTCCGGATTTCATCATTCTAGGGTGTGTACTACAACAACAAACTTTTTTTTTACAAAAAATGTTACTATAGCCGTATATATAAA